CCCCCCCCGGCCGAACAACACCGCTGCGACGGGGCTTGACCTCGGGTCGGGCCGAGGCCGAAAGCAGGTGGCGCCCCCGCCGCCCGCCGGCGGTCTGGTCGACGTGCGGATAATTTCTTCGGGGAATTCGAGTCTGCGGGATATGGCAAAAATTTCGCAGAATTCCACACATGAAAACAAACCACGCGTGTAACAGGAAGCAGCCCTAGGGCCACTCTGGTCTGCTTCGGCGACTAGGGCTCTCAAAACCCGGACCCGCGGGTACCCGGGTGACCCGGGTACGGACCTGGTCCGACGGGTAGACCCGGGTTACCCGGGTACCCGGGTATTACCCGAAAACCCGGAGACCCGGGTACCCGGGTACCCGGGTCTGCGGGTAATACCCGCAGAACCGCGGGCATCGGGTCCGCCACCAGAACCGTAGAATAGAATGTGTGATGCAGCCCTAATAATGTATAGTTCAATTATATCTCATTCACATAGAATTTAAGTCAATTAGATGGGACTTCTAGTAGCGCGGGATCAAAGTAAAACATTTTCCAAAGAGTAAAGTGGTTTGTTACTCAGTGTGGAATGTTTGTCATTCGTTTCAAGTGGAGTGTAGTGTAACTTTTCTATCGAGCACAGGAGATTAATTGAGTATATTCAAGGTTCATTAGTAACGACTGGGATTGGCTAACAGGGTTTATTAGGTAAATGTAAATAAGCCAATATAAGAAAATGACGAAAATTCACAAATCAAATGGAAAAAAATAAACAGTATTTACATACATACAATAAGCAGGTACATAATGCTATAAAACATTTACCTAGTATCTGACCGAAAAAAAATATACATTCAACTCAATACATTTAAGTCATTCCTAATAACTTTAGTACAAAATTTCTATTTTGAAATAGGAAGACTAGAATCGACACGTTCTCCGGCAGCAGGCAGGAGCGGTTTGGTCGCACTGTGTTCCCCGCCGTGGAGAAGTCCCTTTCACTACTGGCAGATGTAGCAGGGACGGCGAGGTAGCGGCGAGCCAACCGCGCAAGGGTGGGGTACCGCTTCTGGCGGGTCTTCCACCAGGTCAGCGGGCACTGGTTGTGGCTGATCTGGGGCTCCGCCACGTACTCGGCGTACTCTGCCTGCCAGGTGCGCGCGCCGGCAGCCTCCGCCTCCCCGCAGAACAAGAAGTCTAGGCCACTGCCCGCGGCCGGTGCCTCCCCTTCGGCGTCTTGGTCCACGGCCACTGCGGCCTCGCCGGCCATCTTCTGCTTGGCGAGATCGCGGATCTTCTCGGCCTCTGCAGGTGACGGCTCGGCCCGCAGGTCCTTGTACCGTGGGTCCAGGAAGGCAGCGAGCTGTTGGACCTCGACCGGCCGCACCGCCGAAGCATCCATGTTGAAGCGCTCCGTGAGCGAGCGGCTGACCTCCACCTTGAAGTCGCGCACGTGCTCCTCGCAGGGGTCCAGCTCCAGGAGTCCCTCGTCGTCGAGCTTGAAGTGCACGTCGAGGAGTGACCTGACGACTGGACGCACTGTGGACACGGTCACTTTGTCGTCCGCGCAGAGCACAGTGGTGGCGACCTGCAGCGGCTTCAGGGCGGGCAGCATGGCCTCCAGCTCGGCCCACTCCTCTGCCGACATCTGCAGCGTCCGGGACTGCTTGGCGGTGGTGACGTTCCGGTCGGATAGCACGGCGCAGACGGGGGCGCGCGACTCGGTGAGGCTCTTGCACATGAGGTACGTCGAGTCCCACCTTGTCGAGCACGACTGGACGAGCTTCGCCTCCTTCAGGCCTGCCGTGACCTGCGCCGCCTCGAGCGCCGTGGTGGCCTTGGTGGAGTGGTGGAAGTGGGCCACCACCTTCTTGGCCTTCTTGCAGGCGTCCATGAACGGCTTGTTCTTCTTCAGGCCGTCATTGACGCAGAGCTGGAGGAGGTGGGCAGCGCAGGACACGTTGAATTCAACGAAGTCGACCTGGTTGACGGCGTTGACGATGTTGGTGGCGTTGTCCCTCGTGATGCTGGTCGCTCGTCCCTCCAGGTCCCACTCGTGGCACATGTCGATGAGAGCCAGGGCGAGGTTGTCCCCCGAGTGGTTGACGTCCATCCCCTCCGTGCAAAGCGTGTAGCGGCGCAGCTCCCACGTCTTGGTGATGGCCTGCGCCGTGAGCGAGATGTACGAATCCAGGGCGCGCGATGTCCAGCAGTCGGTGGTGAGGGAGATGAAGTCGAGCTCGTTGAGAGCCACCTGGACGTTCTCGCGCACCTGACAGAACAGCTCGTGCAGCCGCTTCCGCATCGTCGTCGCGCATGGCACCTTGTAAGAGGGCTCGAGGACCTGCGAAGGGGAAAAACATTTAGTGAGACGCCTGTGCGCAGTGGGAGGCGAAGGGCGGGACCGGCGAAGGGGAGGGGAAGCTACTCACCTTCATGAAGTTGGTGAAGCCCTCCGAGTCCACTATAGAGATTGGCAGCTGGCACGCTGCGATCAGCCCAGCGATGGCCTGCGTCACCACCTCCTGGCGCTCATGAGACATGGGGCGAACATTTGCCCGGGCTCGCTTGGTCGCGGGGCTGCCGCTGCGGCTCCTATCACCACTGCCACTGGCTCGGAGGCCGTCAGCACCACCGCGACGTCGGTCACTCGGACCTGAGCTCGTCCCCTCACCTGGGTCATCGGGGACCTCCTGCCTGTAACGAGATGCCCGGTCAGTAAAGCAAAACATGAACAAAAAGTATTCAATTGACTTCATTCGCAAATCAAAACACCGCGTGGGGGAGGGGGAGGGCATAGTGCCCTCTCGCGAAGCAGTACTTGTACTGCGCGGGCAACAGCGATAGGGATAGGTAGGTGCAGTAACACCCAAACCAAATACCGGCTTGGAAAGCCACGTGCATCTGATGCCCCGTCCCGGGGGACGGGGTGCTGGCGGCGCCAGGTCCCCCTTTGTACTACACATCACTGAACACACTAAACAATTGCTTCACTTTGGACTCACCTGCTCTCATTTTGATCCGCTGCTGGATGAATGTCGTGCAAATTTCGTAAATGCTTGCTGAGCGCGGACGGGGAACTTTTGTAGGTCAAGCTCTTGTCGCACACTTTACACACCGCATGAGTTGGGTCTTCAGGTGTGGGCTCCAAGAAGTAGTCCCACACCCAACTTGTTCGCGCCTCCGACATAGACCAGCACTAGAGCATACGCCCACCCAACTTGACCTCGACCGACCCGGTCCCACTTGTCGAATGAGTCGCTGGGCTGCTGTCCGTCTGAGCTAACTTCTGTATCGCAAAATTTCGAGATGTGGTTGCTGTCCAGTGGTCAAGCCGCCCGGTGCACGCTAGCATTCGAGAGCGCGCCCGGCCCGGCTCGCCTCGCCCGAGCCGAGCCCAGGAAAGGCTGCATCCGGATGCGCGGGTCGCCGGCGTCGTCGGCGCGCTCGGCGCTACCGTTCGAAAAGAGCGCTCCGCCGCTCGCATCCAGGACCCGGGTAACCCGGGTAGACCCGCAGAACCGGGGACCCGGGTACCCGGTTCTGCGGTTCCATGTCGGGTACCCGGGTACCCGGGTAATACCCGCGGAACCGGCCCTACCCGCGGACCCGGGTATTTCCCGGGCGGGCGGGTACCCGGGTTACCCGGTTCTTCGGGTAAAAGTGAGAGCCCTATCGGCGACGCGCACGGAGCCGCGAAAAAGTCGGATAAGGGCAATTCCAGACAGGGGTGGTCCGTCAGTGACGGCATTTGTGAGCGACTGTGAGGAGGTGCAACGTATTGTTGCAATACGTCCCTAGAAGCGTCTTTGCAAAGACGCGTCCAGTCATGTGCTTCAACAACCCGTAGCACCTCTGAGTCGCTCAGACTATGACGGACATTTTTTACCATTTTTTCTGGAATTGCCCGAATCGCCCATAACGGAACGGGGATAAGTTGGAGGAGAATAACTCGTTTTGAGGCGTTTTAAAGCGTGCGGGTCGACACCTCCGGTCTCGCCAATGTTAGAACAATGCCAGGGGTGTTAAGGAAATTGTTTACACCAAGTCATAGCAAGGGCATTAAACCACTTGAAAGTTGCAAGCTTTCAGTGTTTTTTGTTTTTGTACTTGTCGTGCTTTTCTTAAGGCATTTATTGGCAGTGCTCCTCAGTGCGTTATACGCTTTAAACTATTTTAGCGGAGAACAAAGAAAAGAAAAATACATTTTGTTCCAAAGATCTACTTTGTAGAAACTGATTTTATTTCAACTTTTTGTGACAGTGTGGTCAAAATGCTGCGTAATCCGTTTGAGAGAGATTCCTGATTCTACAACAAGAGTGTAAAACAAGATGAAATATGAGACGCTACGGGTTGGCAGTGTCGCCGCGCATAGGAGTGACAGCAGACCAATATTTAAAGCAAAGGCGCTGAGGCCGGCCAGGATATGATAAAACGTCACTAAATATACGGCGTTACATCAAATAAAAAATAAATTCATTCACTTACAAACAAGACGTCAAGATTACGAGATACAAATGCTTATTACTGTACTGTTGTTTCTTTGCATAGTGACAAACGCACTTTATCTCGGCAAGATTTTAACCGAGGAAGTAGAGAAAAGAGCCAAATTTTTTGTGTTCTGCATTGATTCCTAAGTTTTAAACATAAATGTTTAGGCCGACATGCAAAAGAAATGTGTTCCTAAATTAAAATAGACAGGAAATTTGATTTTAGGAAAATACCAAAACTAAATATTGAATAATAGAAGGTTGTTAGAAATCAATAATTGTAAACAAAGGGGGAGCTAAGCAGCGTCGGGAAATAATGGTCTCCCCACTTCGGTATTTTAGTATTCTCATCAGATGGTTCACACGAATTCCTTATCGGTGAAAATAGAACAATGGTTTCGGTTCCATACTGTACGATAAGTAACACTACGCTCTATACTTCAATTCTCGAGGATAGACAATGAGAAACAGTAATAGCTCACACAGCCGTTCATTTCAGACTAGAGTTTAATTATATTATAACATTCACTTATTTCAAGAGTTGCAACACCCTTTGGCTTGCATCACAACAGTATCTACTTTTCTCATCTTATAGACACGTGGAGTTAATAACAGAGGTGGCACTGCCGAGCGGTCGTCAACTACGACTAAATTTGTAGAAACTTCACAAATGCAGTAGTCTAGCATAAAATCTGTGGTACAATTACTATCAGAGTACAGAATTTCTTTTGTGCGATAATAACACTACGACGTTTCTACAGTTGTTTTCCAAAAAGGTCAACGTACTACATTTTTAAAGAAGTAGTACGCATCAGTATATATAGTTCAGCTTGTCACAGCCAAGTTAAGTAGAGGAGTTGTTCAAAGAATGGATTCCGCATGTTGCAAAAATATCATTTATGCACCGGAAAAACAAAGGTGCCTTCTCCGACCTTTATAACGGATGTGTTTAGTTTAGTGCCCCCAGGAAAGGCACGACTTAGCACCTTTGTTTTACCGGTGTGGTTGTGTTGTACCAACCTTCGATGTTACTTTCTAACCGGGTATTGTCACAGGTCAACACCAAATGCGGGAATATTATTGTATTTGCCCCCTAAAAGTAGTGACGTCCAGCTGATTTTATTAATAACGAAAATGTTTCGTCAAAATAACAATTATTAGAGATTTAGTTACCCAATGAATCACTAACAGTTCGAATTTGCACTAAATTAATTCATTAATCACGCATCTATTGTAGAGGAAGCGAGGTTAATAGCGCAAGAGCTTGTGTCAAAAATATTGCTACACATTCTACCTTTTGCTTCCGAAACTTTCATCGGCTGAAATGAGCTAAAGTAGACACCTGGCTTTTCTGCAGGAGCCAGGTATAACTAGAAGTTTCGCGTTATTTTTATCGAGACATCGTCTTTTCGATTCATGCAGGACGAAATCTAATTCTGCTCTTAGAAGTACGTGGCGTCATTGACGGAAGGAAAGACAACGGTAGTCATTAGCTAAAAAATAAAATGTCAGGAACCCTGATTAGGAGACTGATGACTGCGCAGCGTTTTGAAAGTACAAAAAAAGGTCATTATACACAACAAGGACAACAGACCAACAGACATACAAAGAAACGTGTTTCATCAATCATTTCTTGGTAGAAGATAGAAGAATTGAATTCTTACATAGAAAGGAGTCAACACACTCGAGACCACAACACAACACAGTAGTTAGCTATTTAATTTGTCCTAGAAGAACACAAGAACCCTCGTTGCCCTTTATTTGTCTCCCCACTAATGTCCCTCTTTGGTCCAGCGGGCAGACGGCTCCTGGGTGCCGGGTTGGCCGCGGTCGGCTTCCCCGCCGCACTGTGGGGCGTCCTCGGGGGCGGCGGCGGTGGCGGCCCCGGGGGCCCACGATCAGAGGAAGGACTCGTCGGCGTTGTCCGCGATGTGTCCGGCGGCGGTGATGACGGCGCCGGGCGAGCCCTGGCCCGAGCTCCGGAACAGGAGGTCGTCCTCAGCCTCGTCCTCGCTCGGCCCCAGGTCGGACGTGTGCTCCGCCCGGCCGCCGCCCGGGCCGGGGGTCCCCGACGGCGGCGTCACGTGCCCGATCACGCAGTACTGCTGCTGCGGCGCCACGTGGTAGTAGTTTTGCGCCGGCTCGGGGTCGCCGTACTGCGACTGGTAGAACTCCTCGCGCATCATGTGGTTGAGCGAGCCGCACCGGAAGTACAGGATCTGCTGGAACGGGCGGCGGAAGTCGCGGTTCAGCGTGGCGTAGATGATGGGGTTGAGCAGCGAGTTGGCGTAGCCCAGCCACAAGAAGAGCGACGTGACCGAGGCCGGGATGGTCGACTGGTCCCTGCAACAAACCAAGGGGCTCCGGTCAGTGACATCCTGGTGCCATGGTGTGCGCCTGACGGGCGCCAACTGAAAAAAAAACACCAACAGGTGCTAAATCGCACTTTTGCAGAGGGCTATAAAAATGTTCAGTTTAATGCCTTTGGTCACACGGTAAAAACAAGCCCTGGGAATCCCAGGAGTTTTTTCCGTTTCCCAGGGGATCTCCTGGCAATGTCTAATTTTTCCCAGGAGTTGCCCTGGGATTTGGTCGGCCGCTTCCAGAACCCAGGGTAGCGCTCCCAGAACCCAGGGCAGCCCTGGGAGATATGATGCTATTTCCAGGGCATCCCCTGGAAAATGTTCCGCGGCCGACACAACGAGCGGCTGCTTCACCAACTCAATTCTTTGACGCTTTATAACAAGTTGTCTATTCGTCAGTTAATCTAAATGAATGTTTTTATCTTACTTTTAGAGCAGCAGAACTCAACATGCGCAGTTTTGCGAGTTTCCGTTGAGAAGTAACCAAAGTGATATGTGGAATGGTTTAAGTACGCAAATGAAAGGGAG